ATAAGTCATACACGATCCTTAGCCTAATATCCGGTTCTTGCATCTCATAATTTTTTGGTAATTAAACAATATTTATGCAGCAAAAAGTTGTATAAACATGCTTCATTTATTACAACCTCACAATAACTCACAGAATTTGAAGCGGAGAAAGCGAGATAGGAACAGATTTATCAAATAAATGTTTCAGAATATTATTAATATTCTTTTTTTTTATCATTTTATTCTGTTGAAATCAATAAATCCATGAAATTTGTGTAGCTATGGGAGATTATTGTTGAATTTCAGCAGAGAGTCAGCATTTGTGCATCGTTGAGATCTGCTAGTAAAACTCACATTGAAGATGTACGAACAAAGAAAGCAATACGTTATTTCTTGGCTAATATTCGGTATTGTTTGCTTTATAATATTAGCTACAGTAATCCTACGAAAAAGTGTGCAGATGGTTGTTGCGGGTTGTCGCAGGTGTTGACCCCTACGGCCTCCAGACGTAACGTTACGTAACCCTACCCAATCAATTCGTCCATTCCTCATCCACCAATTTCTTAGCCATTTCTAGCAAAAAGTATGAGATATCCTTCTCAAACATTTTCATTTTTATGGGATTTATCATGAAATCTATGGTGTTGTGCAATACAATAATGAAATTCAATCTTGAATAGAAACCAGAAACGGTCATAAATGACCAGAAAATGAAACAGTTTTTGAACAAAAGAACAAGCAAACCAGAGTAACGGATCTACTAACATTAAGGATGGTAATGAAATGGAGTGGAATTCTGTTTTCTTTTTTCTATGAACAGTTAAATCTAATAAATACTTGCTATATTAACTGAGGAAATGCTTATTGTCTGTTTCGAACAAGGAGCAGAAAAAGGCACTTGAGTGGTGCTTCGTTGGGCGCTAATGGAAGGAAGCATCAGGCTGCTTCTTCTCTTCTCATCATGATTGTTGCTGGAAGAGAGCTTGTTGAATATTGTTGAAATATTTGCTATTCAAGCTGAAAATTTTTCGACAAGTAGGGAAGTGAAAAAGCATCATCAACAATAATTTATTTAACTATCACAGTCCTGAATGAATTTACTATTAGGTGATCGCCCAGATTGTTCATGCATTCGGTGTTTCTCGAACTATATGCAAGCGCTGACTCGGTCATTCAAAATTTACCTATCATTGGTTATCTGACTTCATGATTATCACCATCACTCTCATTACTATTTGCGCAAACCGTTTAACCGTTGCGATAGGTCAACCAAAAACAGGTCAACAGTATAGTTCACGGCAATAAGGGAATTTCCTAATGCATTTCATAAATGTATGGACTTCATGCACTTCTGAAATGATGTTCATATAAATATGACAAAAGCCTTTTTTTTCTGCTTTAAAAACTCTTAAAAGTACATTCCCTACAACATATCCGGAAAAGACTAAAACGAATTATACAAAAAATTTCCCATCAGACATGAATCAAATCACTGAATACATTTCTCGACTTCTAAATTCGGAAATCTTTCAAAAGGTAAGGAATTTAGAAATTTTGAAGACATACGGAAATTTTTTGTAACAATCCCAAGGGTCGGCCGTCTAATGTGAATGACCTTCAAGATTGTATCCGAAGATTGACTCCGAGACTAGCAGCAAATTTGATGAGCATAGAGACGTCGTTTTCACTGCCGACGAAGATATCATTTTGTTTACAGTAATTCCTCATAATCGAGAGACAATCTGGAGAATAACCGACTGGAAGGATTGTCAGCTTGTCAGAAATTTGTCAAATTTTGATAAGCTTCCTGAGTTCACTAACATTTCGATATTTGTCTGCTCCTACTAAAAGCAAGCCTCCTAATAATCATTCGTTATTTATCAGTCAAGGAATCAGCTATTTTCAAAGAATGTAGAAATTTGTCACAAACAGAGAAAACTTATGTTAATTAAAAGTTAACTTGTGGGACAATTTTACAACCTATGAACTTAGTTTTTTTTTTTAGAACTGAGAAATAGCCAAAATAGAAATTGTAGACAAGCAAATATGCAAAATTTTTAATCAGATAATTTTGTCGGATTATTTAAACAATTAGATTTGAAAATGAAAAAATTTGGGTCGGTAATATCAAGGAGGAGGTATGGATATCACTATAATCCATTCATTGGCGGTACTATCGCCTTGATGATATGTCAAAACATATATTTCCATTGTCATCTTTGGAACAGATTGCAGATGCTTCTGCAGTGTCAATTCGCGCCGTTTCTGCTAAGCGATATATACCGAAGCTAACTGTACCCCCTGTAGCGCATCATAGTTCTTCACTTTGTGCATAAAAACAAATAGCTCAAAGAGATGGTGGTGATACCACTCACATTCAATAGTATGACTTATTAATTAGCGGTCACCGAAAGTTGAAATAGATCCCGAAACATTGGGAGTAGAGGGCAGTTTCTGTTGCATTTCATAAACAAGATGATATAATCCTCAGGTATTTTATGACGGTATTACAGAATTATCTTCATTAGCTACTTACAATCATCTGTTCCGCTCCCCTAACCGATTAATTAGTTTTATTTACATAAGCCTTGTTCGATTTGACAATGCTAAACCTTTGACAAATGTGGACGCACATGTAAAGTACCAGAAAGTAGTTATAGTTTTACTACGTGATATTATTAATGCATTTCGTTTTCATATGCAGGAGCGGTTGTCGGTACTGGTGCGCTTTTGTTAGAGGCGCAATGAGAGCCATTTTAATGATGGTATTCTCAAGCTGAGCTTCAAAGTGATACCATAGGAAAATACTGCTAAAAGTAAACGATTCTATTGGTGACTATTACTCAACTAACTTATCAGGGCTTCATATAAGTTATAAGGACCTTAATTTTCCAAAAACTGTCTTCAAATAGTCCAATTTATTAAATGTACCATGACTTTTGTTTTCTTGCCAAACATTTTTTAAGTGCTGAAATAGAAGTAATCCTATGCTTTGACAGAGCTATATTGCTTACATTTTTCAAGTCTTAAAAAACAAAACTGGACTTTAAATCTACTTCAGTTTTCTTTACCGAGCCCTTGAAAGACAACATCTCTGCCAACCGTGCACATATTTCCTATTTGTTTTTATTCATATGCAAATATGTATTTATCAAAGTATTGAGTGTAGCAAAGTACCATGCTGCACGATATGCATCCTAAATTAAAGCTCTCACACGTCTTGATCACGGAAGACAAACATTACACTGATTTATGTATTTTCAGCTTTTTTGAAATGAATGAAAATTATACCAAATATTAGCTGCATTCCAAAACACATTCTCAAAAATACTTGCCAGTAATTTTAATTTTTGTATATTTACATAAGGTAACAAGATTCTATGTTGTTCAAATATAATCCTCAAAAACAGCTGAAATTACAAGGTCATTCCAGGGTCAAATATTAAGTAAATCATCCATGTTGAATGGTTAATGATCAACACGATAGAAATAATACTTTTGATAGAAATAATACCATTGGAGGTAAAAAAACTAAGCAACAACAATACGAATAAATTTCATTCTAATACTTCGTTTTACATTAGAGCTGCTGAATACAGTTGTAACAAATTTTGTTATCGACTGTTATTGATTAATTGCGTAATCATTCAAGACATCTTGATTACCAATTCATTAAACGTTGCTGATCCTGGTGTGAAACAGAAAAGCTCTTTTAAACAGATGTTCAGGAGTATGAAAACTTGACCTTATCTTGACCTTTGCATCACTACTGCTCTGAAATAAAGTGTTGCAGAAATATCTTTCGACTCTGAAGCAAACCTAATCCACATTTATGTTGGCTGGTTCTACTAAGAAGAAACTTGTTAACAGATAGCATCATCAGTTGAAGTATCGTGTCAATGGGGCTGAATTATACCGGTTTGTGGACAAGTGACTTCGATAGGGTCGGGTGTTCCGGTGATTTATAACGCAAAACTTGTATTTATTGAGAAATTGTATATGTGTGGGGATGTGTGTGTGTGTGTGTATGTATGTGCATGTGCATTGGTACGATTCCCTTTAACGAATACTTTCTCGAAAAATTTAGTCTGGGATGCCTGCACATGGTTACAAGTACATGCATACATGCATTTCGTGTCAGCAATCATCTCTTCACCCCTCTTTAACATTTATGTTTCGTTTAGCGCGATTACTTTGGTACTTTTTTTTTTTAATTTAGCAAAAACTATTAAAGGGATCTAAGAGCATTATACTTGTACAAGAAGAATAGAATAAAAAGAACAAAAGAACATAGCTAATAAATTTAATTGATATTTAAATTTTAACAAAAACCTGCAACAAAAAAAATGATTATGAAGAGCAGCAGTGGAGTGGGGAAGATGAAAACCGATCGTTTATTGATAACTCTTTGATAACTAATTTCACGTTTACTTTTGCCCATCTTAAGTGTTTCATACTGTTGTGAACAATTCATGAGTTGCACATTTTGCAGACTTATGCAATAGAAAATTATATACTTTCGTCTTATTTCTCTAAACGGCATTGCACTGAGCTGAAATTATCAGGCGAATTCCCTTTAAAAAAATAATTTTAATATATTGATAGTGAAGGTAACAAGCGAAAGACGGATAAGGGAATGTGCAGAAACAAGCGAGGAAAAATAACTTATTGTTTTTTAGATCTTATCTCAGATTTGGAGCTTAAGCAAAGCCCTGCTCCGAAACATTTGATAGATTTCCGTATAAGTAATACGAATTAATAGCTCCCTTCTTTTTCCTGTTTTGTCTGCCTGTTGATCTTCTTTTCTCCATTTCTAAACAACCAATGCTTCCCTAATCCTCAGATTATGTCGAGAAGAAATCTGGGAGATATTAGAATCCCGGCTTGAAGTAATACTAGATCTTGCGTTTTTTTAACAACAAAAGTTGCACCGTGGTAAGTTTCTCCATACGAAACAATGCCTTACTTGAAAGATAACCATGTAAATATCATTTATACTAATCCATATACACACACGCGTGCGTAATGTTATCCGATCCAACTAACCCATTACTAAACATTTCTTGCCCTTTATCATATCTGATTTTTATTTGAGTTAATTTAAAGAGCAAGCCAAAGTCCTGGGCGGCCAGATATCGCAGCTGACAATTTTCACGAGTTGTTCACAACAGTTCCTGTATAGAAATGAGAGTATTCATCATGATACAGTTGTTTGTCTTAATTATCTTCCTTTTTAAGATTCTGTGAATTCATAGATGTATAAGTAGCTGAAGCAGTATTCTTTCATAAATTATTTAGAACAAAATGTGCAATAAAAGTATTGTTCTTAATCACGCAAAGAATTGTCTTGGAAAATTTCTTCAAATGAACAGCAAACCCTACCGTTTCACTGTTCATCAATTATCCGTTTTTTACTCAAATTTGCTGAAATTTTAGATTGTTTTCTAATTGTAAACAACATATAGAAGCTATATGTTGTTGACAATTAGAAAACAATCTAAAATTCTGCTCATCTGTTTCTTCACCTGTTCCTCCTCACTATATCGATTGCTTTATTCCATCATCTCACGCTCAATAACTTTCAGTTTCTCGACCAGGTCTTTACAAAATTATTTACTGATATTCTTTCGTCCCCAGAACCTTTCAATATTAGTCAAATTTTGTGAAATATTTGCTCTTTCCATCAAGTATGAATGAATAATGGAAGGTTCAAGTTGCTGTGCCAGATCAAGCGATCTAAGATCACAACCTTCTGCACACAAAAAGGCTTCAGTGTTGCTTGATCACATCACATGGGAACAAAAAAACTTTTTCAGGAATTACTGAAAACGCGCAACTATTTGTTTGAACACTCTGCGCAATGCTAATAATACTAATCCTTTTGCTATTACATACATCACTATTGTGGAATGTGGTCAATTCACTTGAATGCTACACGGGTTTCTCCATCATTCGTGGCCAAACAGTTGGTACAACCAAAGAAGTATGCAGTAAACAATCCGATTCTTGCTATCGTGCTATGGCTGATGTCAATTTATTAAGTACAGTTAAAAAGGCTGGATGCTCCACTGTGCGCTGTTATGTTAGTCTTAGTCTTCTTCACCATGTCAGATAAAAGCTTAATCGGTATAAAAGACGATTGTATTTGATATATCCTTACAATACTAGGAGTTTCAAAATAAATAATCACTGGTTGCTTAACCCAAATAGCAGTAAAAATTAGAAAGCTTTCCATTCTCCGTCTACGAAAATTTTGCAATTTGCCTTTTATTCTTTTTGCGTTAACGTTTGAAAATTCGGATGGTCGAGGACAAAAAATGATGGGTTAACCAGGATACTAGAAAAGTTGTCGAGATGAAGCGCAAAATAATCTTTGACATGTTTGAGTTGCATATGATTTGCAAATAGCTCCATTTTCTCGATTAGTTAAGAAAGGCTTGCTTTTCAGCTTAACAGAAACAAATGCATCGAACGAAACTTATTCGGTAGCAAAACAATATTCTGCTGCTGCGATGATCGAGATTTGTGCAATGCTGCCTCGACGTCTTTTGCAATCATTATCTCCGTTGTAGCATCGCTTCACTTTATTTTATGATCAAAATTAAATGAGGTAGGACTCTACATTTGATGTGCTATAAAATCTTAGTAAGCAATTTGCTACAGGAAATTTCATAGTCTCTACAGTCCGGGTGCTTTTTTTACTGCAAGATGAAGGACGGACAGAAACTAGTTGAGAAATACACACTGCTGTTCGGTTACTCAGTGTTTCTGCTGATGATACGGGTAACTCCCCTAAACAACTTCATACTATACAGCTCAAGAACTCAGTTGAGTAATCCGCATATCAGTAAAGCGCTCATCAAGGATAGATAAGTCATCAGCGTAAAAGTATCCACACTCCGATAAAATAGCTTTTTATGTTTAGCTGTATCTGAAAATAATTTGAATAAATATTCATAGTTTCAGAACTTACCACATTTAACTGATGATTATTATTCGGTGGGCTATTTTAATCATAGACATTTTTTGTAAGTTCGCCAGACTGTCTATTTTGAGATTGAATGGAAGCAGATTAATTTTACAGCTAGTAAGACATCCGAAGTACTTTTTTTTGATATTTTTTTTGAGTTTTAACTTTTTTTTGTATATTTTTTTTGAGTTTTAACTTATGAAAGATGAAGATACACTAAAACGCGTTCCTTCTTTTCGCTTTTTCAAGGCTTAGAAAGTTTGTAGTTCATTCTGAAAATTTTTCCAAGTTATACACCATAAGTAGATGTGTTTCTAACACTAACATCGTATAGTTAAAGAAAATCAGAACTGAACCTTATGCCTTCTAAGGCAATCGATCACCAGATATTCCACCAGTTGGTATTTTTCAACAGCAGCTATTTGCACTTAATGTAATTAAGCTACAATTATATCACAAGAAAATAAAAATGGGACTTCTTTTTCGACTTCACTTTTAACTACCGTAATGCAAAGAGGACCATGAGGATCGAGCTTATTCTGCAATGTTATACCATATCATTGTGTAATCAATGCATTATATTCACGACTTTTATTATAGGAGGAAAAGTTGAGGCTTTCACACCCATTTTAATGCAGGCTGTGCTTGGTTTTCATACGTTCAGCGTGCATCTTCCGGCTATCTAATAAACATTCATGCTCCGTTCATACATACATTATCCGTGTGCATCCCGAACTCTCTTTCATTTCAACAGGAACGGCAGATCACCGCTATATTAACGAATTTGATTTCACATAATTATGAATTCTAAAACTTTCCAACTAGTTCGCTGCATTGCAATGGAAGGAAGTGGTTCTTCCCAACAGCTGCTACAAGGCCGACAGCGTTGTGTCATTTACATTATGGGGGCTTTTCTTTTTATCGAAAATCAAAAAACGTTTTCAATTAATATTCTAAAAGTGTTTTTATTCAGATGAACTGTTTGAAAACTACTATTTACAATAGCCTGGTATTTCGTTTAAAAGTGGTACGAAACAGTTAAGTGCCACGTCGGCTAGTCAAACTTCAGGTGATTCTGAGTAAAATATTGTTTCGAATTTCGAATTGGTGCTAAATTTTAAAGGATTATAATTTGAATTGAATCAAGTAATGCGTGCTATGAACTGGTGATTAACTGAAGCAAAAGATTCAGACAAATCCCAATATGAAAGTAACACGAGAAATACAGGTAAATGGTAAAACCATCGAAACAAAATATGCCGGTATGCAAAAATGAACCATACTGAGTAATAATAGGGAGTTATAAATCTTAGATGAAAAATCACTGCGAAGACCTAACATGCCTTTACTGTCAAGCCTGACATTAATTCTCTTTATTGTTAGACGATGTATAAAAAACAGTAATAGAAAAAACACTTGATCACATATAACTGCAGATCGTTTAACTATAAACGATTACTCAAGGCGAATATATGTACATGTCCAGTGAAGGACAAGCTTTGTTTATTAATTATGCTCCCAGGGGGCAATCTTATTGCGACGATGATTTCCGAGTTCATGCCTATCAAGATAACAGCTTCTCTCACCCTCTGCAACAAACTTATAACAATGGAAGAAAATTGTTTTCAAAATTTCAAACAAAAATAAAGGCTGCCCTGTGCAGCAACAAAATTCATGGTTAGTTTTTAATGAGGCACTGGTCTGTAGAAGTGAGATGAATAACTGAAAGGCTTTACGGTTCCGGGATTACAGTAAAAACTGACGGTTTAATCTCCGTTTCCATCACAGACTTGACCAATTGAAATGATTCATATTCCTCAACCTCTTTTCGAATACGTCTGAGCAACAATCTTCATTATCTTATCTTTCTTCAGTAGAATCGGTTTGAAACATTTAGAAAAGATATGGATAGGAGATGTGTTGCAGTGCACACTCCAACAGCTTACAGTGGCGATGACTGCTTGAGCAGAGAGTGGACGGAAGTTACCCAAAAACTTGTTCATTTTGCTCGGAATAATCGTGAAGAGAATGGATGACAATACCGGAATAAAACTGCACCGAAAAACTGCCAATCATAACCATAACTGTCTATTTAAATGAACCAATTTCAACTGTTTTCAACTCTGTACCGCATAACTTAATCATGACTAAGCAACTCTAATCCGATGAATACATTGAATAGTGCCTTTATAGCTCAGCAACATATCTTCTCTCACCATTGATCAACATATCTGACCAACATATCGTCCTTTCGGCTTATCTTTGACGTGGATCTGTCTGACAAGCTTAGTACTCTCTTCGTCTTATAAACGCGCTTGGACCATATGTCCGAATTCCAGGATCACTCTTACATAACTTATTGACAAATGAACACACTGATCAATGCCATGAATGCGTAGTTAGAAATTAACTTACACTGATCTCACGATTTTCTCACCTAACTACACATTATGGAGGTTAATTTAAAACTCTGAGCTGCAATAAATGCCATATGACTCATAGCGACGCACTACCGTAATTGACAAGAGTGAGACAGCGCTGGTACTAGAACTTTCGATGAAGAGAAGTGTAGGAGGGAGTATTGTGGTGCTGACGGAAAGGGGGTGAGTCGATCCGACGATATTCCATTACAGCCCAGTATCGTTCAAGTCAAGAAAATAGTTTTAGCTTGACCTGTTCCAATTAGAAGTACTCTCAAAGACCACCTAACTAAAACGTGTACCAATGCTCCGTCATCATCCATCTTATAGCCAGTCATTCTCCGCACAACCTTCATCAAACCTTTACACTTTTCACCTGTACTCAAATGAGGCATTCGTTCTTTTCGTTTTCTATTTCTCTCCTTGTTTGTTGGTTCCAGCCAAATATAATTAGATTGAACGAAAATTACTTTGATATTGGGATGAGATGACATCAGTACTTAGTGCCACGTCATACTTTGACTCATTTATAACAGTTCAGCTTCAGTGGCTGTTCCGCAGATCGATTGCACAGTTAAATAGTGGATTTGTAATTAGAGTGGGATTCAATCGTTGTTTCGGAATGTTCTTTAATTACTCCATAAAAGCATTGATTTGAGAGAAGTAGACAACAATGTTTTTCATCGAATGAACGGTGGCGGTCGTATGAATGGTCCAGTGGACACAACGCTATATGATATTCTGAATGTGAAACCGAATGCTACAATGGATGAAATTAAAAAGGTAGCTTTTCTCTTCAATAGAAGGATTTTTAAAAAATGGGATGAGCCAATGGAGGTGATCCTTAATTTTAGCGAAGTAAAGTGACGTTTTTACATTTTGACAAGATTTATCGACAGTTAACCCACGAAAGCTTTATTTGTGCGCTATTAGTAGTTTGATTTGGTTTTTTAGTCCTATCGTCATTTGGCAAAAGAACACCATCCCGATAAGAATCCGTCTGATGGCGACAAGTTCAAGGAAATATCATTTGCTTATGAAGTGCTAAGTAATCCAGAGCGAAGAGAAATTTATGACGTTAGAGGTCTCGACGGTATCAAAGAAGGTGATAGCGGTAGGTGAAAGATGTGTTTTGTATGAGCTTAAATATAGTTTATTGATTGTCGTTGTAGGAGGCGTTTCCGGTGCTGAAGATCTTTTTTCAACTCTATTTGGTGGTGGTCCGCTTTCGTCATTTTTCGGTGGTGGTGGTGGACGACGAAGAAAAATGCGTGGTCAGGACATGGCCCATCCACTAAAAGTATCTCTCGAAGATCTCTATAGTGGCAAGAAGTCCAAACTGCAGTTGTCAAAACGAGTGATTTGCAGCGCTTGTCATGGGTGAGTTAAAGATGTATCAAGATTTTACTTCAGGAAGTTTCGGGTTTGTTTGTTGTGCATTTCTAATGCACCTTTTTCCATTTGTATGAGTGCAAGCAAATTACGTTAATATCTCAGGCTGTATTTTTATATTGCTGAAAATCTTTCCCCAGAGACTTTTTTGAGGCAGATTTTTCGCTTCACCAGTCAAAAAATCGTCGAATGGCATTTAGGATCATCATTGGCTTGAAAAAATGCTTACAGACTTACAGACAGATTTTGACTTAATTTCTGGAAGGAAGGGGTTCCCAGACAACCTTATTGAGTTTTTCTGGGCATAGGTATCTGTTAGAATGCTTATTGTGTTCTCGTAGTATTACAAAAACATGATATTTGTAGTAGTGTCTTGGCGAAACTTTTTGATGGTATTTTATCTTCGGAGAAATACCTGATACGATTTTGCCTTTTTAATCAACTGAAATATTCACCTAATAACTTCTACACAGCATTGTCTATCGAAGAGGTTTAAAATAGTTGTTACATGGTATCGTATTATTATGAGATAAGTGCTACAAAATAATGAGTAAACGTAATACAGATATATCTCTGTTAAGGATCAAAGATCGAAGTTTCGACTCTCATCAAAATGAGATTTTTTTGTTTTTAATTTGGTTCTTAATGCTTAGCTTTGGAGCTGATATCTTTCGAAGTTGCTTTACAAGTGCCCAATCATCTTTAAAATGAATCTGTCTTGAGAATCTTAGCAGTAAATAACATCGTTTTATTTTAGTTAAATTCTATGGTTCGAATCTGTGAAGTGCTTTTGAATTAGCTGTTCCTAACATGTTTTTTAAAGATTCCCAATCTCCTTAATCCTTTTGTAGTCGTGGTGGTAAGGAAGGAGTATCGTACAACTGTCAAGAATGTCGTGGAGCTGGTGTCAAGAGCGTCATAAGGAAACTTGGTTCTGGTTTGATTCAGCAAATGCAAATACAGTGCCCAGATTGCAACGGAACAGGTTTGGGACCTGTAAGACAGCATACTAAGCTGACTTACTTACATGTTTCTTTTTCAGGTTTAAAACTCAGTTGGAGTGAAAATCTATGAATACTCCAAGGAAATTTCGATTTCATGACATTGTAGTATACTTTGTCAAGATTTTGAAATGCTCAAGAATTGAGCAAACATTTTTGTTGTCAGATGAGAGAAGTTTGGTTCAGACTGATGTTTCAGGGATACATTAGGGGCAGCCTGCTTCGAGAATATATGTGGGTCATGGGACTTTTGAACCAGCGATATTATTTAAACTTTTCATGGATAAAATCGATTGCAGGAACGAAAATACCGGAAAAAGATAAATGCAAAACATGTAGAGGCGAGAAAACTGTAACTGAAAAAAAGATGCTGGAAGTGGTTATTCAGAGAGGAATGCATGATGGACAGAAGATCTGCTTTAGGGGTGAAGGCGATCAAGAGGTTCTGCATTCTCTGTTACTGAAAGTGTAGAAATTTGTAAAATAATTCTGATTATCATTTAAACCTAGCATTCAAACCTAGACTTTGGAGGCAAAGATTTTGAAAAATCTATTGTGTCTAGTTTCGATATTTTTATAGCCAGGAGTTGAACCAGGTGATGTGATAATCGTGGTGCAATGTAAACCACACGATACGTTCCAGAGACAAGGTGACAATTTACTTATGCAGAAGTAAGTTTCAAGTATATGATTTCCTCACAAAGTATTGTGGAACATAATCATCGTGTACATATATATATATATATATATATATATATATATATATATATATATATATATATATATATATATATATATATATATATATATATAT